GGGATGATTTTGATAAGTTGGAACGTGAAAGAAATGAAGCGGAAGTGAGACGTACGTTACGCGGTTCGATGAACTCCAAAAGCGGTATAACAAGATGTAAGTCCAGGAATGGAGCCATACGTTTCGTCAGATCGTATTCCGCCATGATGAAGATTTCTGAACCTGGAAACACTGAAGGATTGCGAATAAGCTCATAAAAAATCAAATTTTTACGTCTTTTTTGAGGGAAATTCTGACAGATTCCTTCCTAGTTTCGCTTAAAATTTCTCTTTTTTTTTTGCTTTATTTTTATTCCAAATTTCTCCCAAAAGCGATGACATTGGAACTGCAGCGCCTGGGAAGGGCGAAAGCAGATGTGAACTGAACAGGAATGTTTTGGTCCAGTAGGTCGTCTGGCACATGACGGAGAGTGAAACCCCGCGCTCAGCTTGCTTCCACCAATAACGATGCAAACGGTGCTCTTTCTACTTGCTAAGCTAGTTGCATGCATGCAGTGCCTGCTAGATTCGACCCAGTTCTTCTGGTTGCTGCCCCCGAAATTGACCGAGACTTCCCCAATCTGATACAGCTCCGGCAACACAGAGCACTCACAGTCCCCACGTAATTCTCCTCACATCACAGTTGGCACAGCGCCAGATTATGCTGTTACCTCCCACGCGATGCTGGCAATTTGCCAAAATGCAGTAAAATTGGGTCGAATTGCGTCAGATGTCTGTGATTGGTGTGTTGCTTTCCGGGCACCGATGGGGGAGTGGGTTTCTTGTGGAGGAAGTTGAGCATGTTGGGATGTTGTTTCGGGAAGCAGTTAGCAGGCTCGGGGGAGTGGGTTCGTCTTCTGCCGAGCATTGGCTTTGCGTCGGCTGGGCTGCTCAGATGAGTGCGTGGAATGGCTTTTTTTGAGGGCCATCTGTAATTGTTCCTGAAACACACTTATCGCACTTCGCACAGAATTGTGCGCAGTGCGCCTACGATTCGTTCTTTCGTTTCGGTGATCCGAAGCCAGCACACTGCTAAATGTCACTGCTGTGCTGTTTTAGAGCTCGAGGGGGAGGTATTTCGTTGAAAATAATAAAGCAGTCAGGGAAAGGAGGTACAGGTGCTTTTCTGTCGGACGAATGCGGAAATTTTCGTAAAATTCTGTGGTGGCGTTAATTTTTTTTTTCAGGTGATTTTGCGCCAAGACGGTTTTTGGTGGGCGCCTCGTGTTGCTGGCAGCGAGCTGGACAAAACCGTCGTTCGTTCGGTGCATGCAGCGAAGTGAAGTGCGGAGAGGCGGCGGTAAGATTTGGGCTTTGTTGCGCAAGCTGCTCTTTCATCATCCCCTGGTTGCCCATGTGTGCAGTCGCCGGCAGCTTTCCCAGTTGCTCTGGGCTGTGCTGCTTCGCCTGGTGGGGTGGTGATCGGTGTGCTGGGGCCTGCTATCTCACTTCTCTTTTGGTTCCGAATAATCTTCTTTTAGCTAAACGTTGCACTGCCAGTGCTTGCTGGCCAGTTTCCCCGTACATTTGTTAAGCTTATCCCCATTGTCCGTATTTGCGGTGTCCCTTATCGATGATGTACTGAGTTATCTGAAGAAGTAATCTAAGGTAATTTGGTGGCAGATTTACAAAATTTCACTTCGCACTTCTTGCAGGAGTTGTGCAATCCTGTGTCAGCAGAAGCATGGCGACAACAACAACGAACGGTGACATCCCATCCTCCGGTACAACAAGCCCTACTTCGAGCCCTGAAGGTTTGTTTAGATGCGATCCGAAAGAAGGGCCTGGTTAGCGGGAAAGGCACGGTAGTGGTTCTGTTGAGATATGCTTCCGCCTTCTAGCTTCCCGCAGAAACGGAGATTGGCGGATGATTGCTGTTGGCACATGTGTTGTTATACTTCCAAGTACTTTCGCCTCCCACAGAGAGTAAATGTGGTGAATGTTTTGGTTTTTATCTAATAATTCAAAATCAATGCAGTTAAAAGCACGCAAATTTTCACTGCTAACGAGCAATTTCTCATAGTGGCCGTCGGAGAAGAGCGACAGTCAAGAGCACGTGAGTCGCCTGAGCGGAAGCCAGAACTCAAACTTCTCAACAGCTTAACGCGCAAAAAAGAAATTTTTGTGACGCCTGACTCTAAACAGGTATGATTTTATTCACAAAAATTAGAGGCGGTGACTGGGCAAGCGGAAAAGGGGAGGGGGGGGGGGAAGCAGAACTTTGCAGGGAAAGCACAGGGTACTGGAAGTTCTATGTCTGTAATGTGGGTTACCAAGGGTACGCAAAATTCTGACGATCTCTTAACAAAAAAAGTGTAGGAGATTCATTATTCGTGAAAGCAAACTTTTGCTTGTCAGTTAAAATTTTTTACTGATTTTTGGCCTGGAAATCTTGCGATTAAAAATTCAAGGATTGCGGTATTTTTACGAGCTTGCTCTAGATCCTGTAAATGAGATGCTTTGCTTTCTTAGGTGAGAGGGGGGAAAAGCACAACAGTTTCACTCCTTATGTTTGGGTTACTCTGGGTTTTAATGGGATTTGAGTTTTTGTGGTTCAATACATAATATGTGCAATTTTTTCTAGGTAAAATATGGAGTAGTTGAAACCACTGCTAGTATAATACTAAATGCCGAGAATTTATTTTTGGTCAGAGCACTTTTAAAATTTTTGTAAGCGAATGTGGTGTGTGTTGGATTTTCGAAGATAAATTTAGTAGTTGGTGGTCAGATGCGGCATACTTGGGAGGGGGTTTTATTTTTGGCAAAATCGGGCACACTCAGAATTTCCTCGAGTTAAACACATGTGATGCTTCGAGAAGCTGCAGTTCTTAACTAGCTTTTTAGTTTTTTCCGCCCTACAACTTTTCCAGTTGTAATGACCGATGCCACATTGCCTGTTTGTCAGCCAGCTGGTATTCCTAGCCTTCGCTTTGTCATCGAAAAGGTTCCCCATCGCGCCGGTTCTTTGGACAAAAACATTTCTAAGATTTTATTTATTTTGAGATGCCTTTGATGTGTACAAAGCATTTTCTACCGCGTTTAGGATGCTGCCACTCTTAGAGCACGTTGAGATGTCTTTCCGAGTACTTGGAGAAAATAGCTGTGAATCAGGGGATTTTGGAGATTTTTTTTAGGTGAAATGGTATATTTGTGGGCCAACGGTATATGACTCAGCTCATTTGGGCCATGCTCGAGCTTATCTTTCGTTTGACATACTGCGAAGAGTGATGCAGGACTACTTCGGCTATGGCGTGCTCTACGTTATGAATATTACCGATATTGATGATAAAATTATCAAGAGGTTTGTTTGCCTGAAATTTTAGTGGCATGACCCTTTTGAGTCCTTGTTGTTTTCGCGTTTAGGTGCTTTTGCACAAATGTGTGTAAGCTTCTAAATATGCGTAAAGTAGTTGCTGCTGGCCACGTCTCAAGAGCATAGCCAGCAGTGCTGCTTTACGCATGTCTGAAAACTTGCGAACCCTAAAATATCAGTTGTATGGCTGATCTATTATAGGTATTTTTGGTGTTAGTGACTGGCAGAGAACACTTGTTCAATTGATACGTTAGCATTTCTTGCTCCTTCCCAATATTTGGCAACCCTTTCCTCCTTTCTGTTCTGTTGAAATTGCTGCTCTTTTTTTGTGGCTTTCATCATGACCGTACCAACTTTTTTTGTAGGTTGTGCATTTAGCAACTTCTGGGAGGCGCAAATTCATAGAGCGAACGGTGTGGAGACATGTACCGCAAGATCGAAGAAACTGACATAGCTGCCCTCGGCGTATCCTAGTATTATTATTGATAGGGTGTCTTGGTATCCTTGATGTTTTATATTTGTTACATTGTACAAGTCCAGCTCATTGATCTATTTGTTTTTTTGAATTTCAGGGCTCGTCAACGACATTTGTTGGATACATATATAAATGGAGGATTTGGCGAGCTTACTGTCACAAAACTTATTGAAGATGTCGTAGCTGCACTGATAGCTTTTAAAAACAAATGCGATGTTGAAACTGATCCCGACAAAAAGAAAATGCTCCACAGTGCAGTAATTGATTTCTCACTCTTTTTACTTTTTATGCATCATTGTTTTTAAGGCTCGTCCGAATCCAGATGTTCAAATTTGAGTTTTTTTTTTCTTTTATGTTGCACCAAAGTCAAAAGTCGAAACTGCTTGCTTTTTGTGCGAAAGGCGAAGACCCTCCAAAATTTTACTGTAATGGTAGAATTTGTGCAACAGGAAACATTCACTAACAAGGCCATCAGTAGTTTTTATGGGTTTTTGCAGCTTTGCAATGCAAAAACGCATATTGTCGAGAGGTTGTCTGTGTGTCTGTGTGTGTCTGTGTGTGCGTCTGTAACGAGTTTTGATCTCGAGATCCGCAAAAGCTACAAGGCTGAAAATTTGGTGACTTAATCTACACATACGTGCGGGC